ATTTAAAAGCCCCAATCAATAAAGAAAATATTTTGATTATCACTCTTATCCCTTGGAATCTAAAGGTCTTTTAGGCATTTGTGGTGATAAAGATGACACGTGTACTTTTTTCCATCTATATTATTCAAAAGATTCATAGAATAGCATTTGTGGTTATAAAGAAGACAGATGGATCCTTTTCCAAGTTTTAACTTTAAAAAAATCGCAGAAAAAGCAAGTATATCTTCTGCTATACTTTGGGCCAAGCAAACCCAATAGGTTAGCCAAGCAATCATTTCTATGAATCTTGCATTTTGGGCTGATTTACTGGGGCATTTTCATCTATACCCGCTTTTTGTATTATATTTTAATTTGTTCGCTTTGTAAAAAAATTATAATAATACCCGTTTTTTCGCATAACTTCAGCACACGGGGCTGAAGTAACAAAGGCAATCACGCAAAACTTCAGCATTCTAGTAGCCGGGCCTGAAGTTCAGCTCTAGAGCTGAAGTTTTTGTTTTGTAACTGGTGAACTTCAGCTCTAGAGCTGAAGTTTTTATGTTGTAATATTTTGTTTAAATTTTAAAATTATGTATTGTATACTAATTTATAATATATACAATATGTAATATATCAAATTAAATATTAAATAATCCTCGCATACCGATTCATGTATTAGTCATTACTAATGGATTACTGTTTCATCCAGTTCAATAGAGAAGATAACGTCGAAGCAGAAAAGCTTCAGATTTATAGGAAGACAATAGAAGAATTAATATTTAAAAAGGCAAAGGAAAATCAAATATGGCATACGGGATGGTCGTCCTCTTGCTTGACAACTCAGTCAATTGCTTGTTTGCATATTTCAGCTATTTATTTCAGAAGAAGAAGAAAACGAAGGAGGAGAAAAGGGACTGAAGTTATTTAAGAAGTGAATACAAGTTAAAAGTTTAAAAAAAAATAGATATAGGTTAAATGGGGGCGACCAAATATGGCGCCCCGTGCAATTTTTACCCGATTTACTTTATAGATTTTGACCCTATAAGTGAAAATATAGCTCTTGGAAAATTATTCCTTTTGGAGAACGTTAGATATTTATCTATATTTGTTCATATCATTTTCAGTTTGCTTATAAAATGTTAAACTGTGGTCTACCGTTTTCTTATAAGATTTTTAGTTTGCTCAAAAAGAATATTTAGATCGCAGTCTAAAAGGTTCATCAATTGCAAAAAAATAAATAAAAAGAAAGTTATTTACTAAACAAACTAATACGAAAAAAGGATGCCCGATGATTAATAGTGTAATTTGCTCATTCATCATCTTTCAGACCCCAAACATACAATAGGTTAAGAGAGGCTTAGATGTAGATGTCGTATTTTCTAATAACGCTCGGATCATAATCACATATGTTTAATATATAATTAAGTAAATAAAAATACGTTCTCTGCACTTAAGCTTTAAGAAAAGATAATCAAACATTTCTTCAGACTCAGATCATAATCACATTTATTGTACTATGATCACATAAATCATCTTTGTTTATGGTTTCGAGGGGCGTTATACAGTTATAGTGATCCTCCTATTTAACAAAATTTCGAACAATTAGTAAAAGTAAAACGCAGAGAAGAAAATGAAGCTGACTTGATAAACTCAGAGGGAGAAGGGAAGGAAACAAGTTGGATGAGGACCCAACGCGATTAAACCAAGAAATTTAACTTTGGCGGTTACAAATTATAAAAGTAATAATATATATCACTTAATCATGGTTAAACAATAAAATCCGAATGAGATACACATGTTTATCATTCAAAAGCTTAGCGTAAATATCGGTAAACACCAGGGTGAGTTTTTTATTGGATGAGTGCCATTTCAGTTAGGGGATCTATACACAAATAATTAGCCGGATTTATTATTTACTTTTTTAGCCCGTATACGTATATTATATATTGATTATACATGGTTGTATATACATTATAAATCCACCAACTATTTAAGTTAATTCTTCTTTCAAGAGTGTCACGACCCAAGTTCTCCCTCCGTGAATCGTCGTAACGACACCTAGTCTCTACAACTAGGTACGCCTAACATTTGCGGAATAATAAAATGATAACATAATTTTTGATAACTAACTGTAATAGAACAACATAATTGAATACCATGTTGCTTGGCACGTACAGTAACCAATTACTCAGAAATACACAATATGCCCAAAACCCGGAACATCATGAGTCACAAACTACAGAAAGAAAATAATATCTCTATACTCCAGAGTCTAACAAAAGGAAATACAGGAAGTGTTTGACATAGGAAAGAGTAGAAAGGGACTCCGAGGTCTGCGGACGCGGCAGATATACCTTGAAGTCTCTACAACTGGCTCGCCTCACTAATAATGCGGATGATCCTGGATCTGCACACGAAAAACATGTGCAGGGAAGGGCATGAGTACACCACAACGGTACCCAGTAAGTGCCAAGACTAACCTCGGTCGAGTAGTGACGAGATCAGGACAAGGCCCTACTGGTATATATATAATAAAATAAAACAAAATGAAATATCGCAGTAAATATAAATACTAAATTTTAACAAGAATGAAAACACAGAAAAACAACAGCTCAGTACACAGAGATAACAACAGGGGATCTCCTAGGATACCGTCCCGTAGTCTTAAACGTAAATGTGCAGGAGGGTCTACCGCAATACCGTTCCGTAGTCCCAAAGTAAATATGCAGAACAGGGGGGTCTACCGGAATACCGTTCCGTAGTCCCAAAGTAAATATGCAGAACATAGGAATCTACCCGAATACCGTTCCGTAGTCCCAAAGTAAATATGCAGAATAGGGGGATCAACTAGAATACCGTTCCGTAGTCTCAAAGTAAATATGCAGCTCAAACAACGGAAATAACAGCTATAGCAAGAAAACGTACAATTTCGACTAAGTACCAGTCAAGGAAAAATAGAAATTTCACTAAACATGCTGCATAGAGTTCAAATAAGCAATTAAGGCAAGTAAACATGCTATTCTAAGCTAACAGGATACTACACATGCTGATATAGCTCAAATAAGAAGAGGAACAAGTTATTACTCAGTGAAAATTGGGTGTACATACTTGTTACCTCACGTACACGGTGCCCACATATCAAAACAATACCAAATCCTAAGGGGAGTTCCCCCACACAAGGTTAGGCAAGCCACATACCTCTAACAAACTTAATCAATCAGACACAATGCCTTTCCCACGAATATCCGGCTCCAAGTGGCCCAAATCTAGCCAAATCAATTACATAACGTAAATAGCTATAAGAAACTAATCTAGCTAATGAAATCAAAACTAAAGCAAGAAATTAGAAAAATGCCCAAAAAGCCTCCCCGGGCCCACGTCTCGAAATCGGTAAAAGTCACAAAATATGAACACCCATTCACTCACAAGTCCAACCATACCAAAATTAGTCAATTCTGATAACAACTCGACCTTCAAATCCTCAATTTGTGGTTATGAAGTTTCTACAATTTTTCCCAAATTTCCGTCTCAAAGTACTAATTAAATGATGAAATCGGTGATATATTCATGTATATTAACCAAATCCGAGTTAGAATCACTTACACCGATGAATTTCTTGAAAAACCCATGAAAAATCGTCTCAAACCGAGCTCCCAAGGTCCAAAAATGAAATAATAACCTAAACCTCGGTTATATAGTACATTCTCTGAACTCACCATGTGCAGTCCGCACAATTCCAAGTGCGGCTGCACATCCCAGCTCCTGCGGTAGCATAAAAATTGTGCGGCCGCACTCTCTTGGTGACTGCACTGCCAGGCTTTAGTATTTTAGCCATATCTTTCTCTAAAGATGTCCAAATGATGACTTCTCTACTCTTATGGAAACTAGGCATGAAGGGCTATAACTTTTGTTTTTGAATCATCTCAAAATTCCTTGTAGATCAAAAGATATAAGCTTCCGAAGTCGGACCAGCGAATCTGAGAGTTCCTGAGTGCGGCCGCACACAAAATTGTGCGGCCCCGCACTCCTCTGCGGCCTGAAGTGCGTGCACACACAAAATTGTGCGGTCTGCACAATTCCCCTAGGTCTGCACTCCCTTTTGCCTCAGCACTCCCAAAATGTGCGGTCCACACTTCCAAAGATTCCCAGAACAACATTAGAGTGCCGAAAAGTCCGTACTCGCTCAAAACTCACCCCGAAATTCACCCGAGCCATTCGCGACCTTAACCAAAAATACCATCAAGTCCTAAAACACCATACGAACTTGGTCGAACCCTCTAATCACATCAAACAACAACAAAAACACTAATCGAACACCAATTCAAGATTAATGAACTTGAATCTTCAAACATCTAGAACCGAAGCCAAAACCTATTAAATCACGTCCGATTGACCCCAAATTTTGCACACAAGTCATATTCAACATTATGAACATAGTCCAACTTCCGGAATCGTAATCCAACCCCGATATAAAAAATTCCACTTCCGGTCAAAATCTCCAAAAATGCGACTTTCACCATTCCAAGCCTAAATTAGCTACAGACCTCCAATTCACTGTCCGGACACGCCCCTAAGTCCAAGATCACCCAATGGAGCTAACAGAATCGACAGAATTCCATTCCGGAGCCGTCTCACATTGTTCCGACTACGGCCCCTAAGACTTAAGCTCCCATTTAGGGACTAAGTGTCCCAAAATACTGCAAAAATCAAAACGAAACCTCCCGACAAGTCACAATAGCAGAAAATAGATATGGGAAAAGTGGTTAAAGGAGGATCGGGGTTATTACTCTCAAATCGAGCGGCCGGGTCGTTTCAAGGAGGCCGTTATTACAATAACCCATGCATGGCTAAAGGATCTGTTTTTTTCTTACAACTTGTAGTTTTCAAACAAAGCTGTACAAACCGACAATTGAGCAGAATCTGATTTTTCCATCAGAGAAAAGTTTCAAAAAGTTTAGATTCTTGTGATTGTAAAGAAAGACATAGCATATATAAATAGCAATAGCTAGCTCCTCCTATAGTCATGAACAATATTGGCTCGTGTAAGAAAAAAACTGAGCTAAATTTGTAAAAAATTCCACACCATCAAAATGTCAAGATCAGATCCTTTAGTAGTATCTGGTGTAATAGGAGATGTATTGGATCCATTTACCAGGTCTGTAGACTTTAATGTGGTTTACAATAATAGGGTGCAGGTCTACAATGGCTGTGGATTGAGGCCTTCACAAATTGTCAACCAACCTAGGGTTGACATTGGAGGAGATGATCTTGGCACTTTTTACACTCTGGTAAAGTTCTTTTTTTTTTCTTCTTTTTCGAGAGTCTCGGAATAACGGTAAACTTGTCTCCGTATAATCTATATGGATTATGAGTTTGAGCCATAAAATTAGCCGCTGATCCTTGTGCCAGGGTAAACGCTCCTTGGGGTACGACCCTTCTCTGAATCCAGGGGCGGAGCCAGAGTACCGACTATGGGCTACTTTTCTTTTAATTTGACCCAAAAAAATGTCATACTTTCTTATTTATAAGTAATCTAACTTTAAACTTCCTACTTTACCCTTAATGAATTAATTTACGACTACACAAATGTTTATATAGTTTGTTTTAGACCATAAATTTTAAAAATCTTCATTTCTTTCTTAAACTTCGTATTAAGTAAAGCAACGCCATATAAATTGGGACAGAGGGAGTAACATTATTTTGATAAACAATTTAACGCTGTTTGGGTTTTCCCCTTTCTAAATTAGATTACATAATGGAGTATATTCAGAGAGTCAAAGTATTTTTACACTATCAGTTCATGTAAAACATATTTATAGGTAACCATCTGTGCATGCATAAAATAAAGATGAGATTACTAACTTGAAAAATATAAAATGTTACATGTTATTGCATGCCACATTATAAAGTTTTTTTACATGATATATCAATATATAAAAGTTAAATTATTTTCTTAATTTGGCATTGGTTTCAAGATACGTGAAATCCTTTATCCATTTTTTGGAAGGTTATGGTGGATCCAGATGCTCCAACCCCGAGCAACCCAAACCTGAGGGAGTATCTCCACTGGTAAGATTATGGTCCATCTTTTATTTTTTCTGTTCTTTTTGTTGGTGTTACTCATGTTAAAAGAGAAAAATATTTCCTCCGTTCTAATTTACGTGATAGTGTATAACTTCTCACGGAGTTTAAGAATGAATTTTTTTTTAATATTTGTGATCTAAATAAATTATAGAATTTTTGCGGCTATAAATCATCACAGAATAGAATAAAATAAAAATTTAAAATTAAATTATTATTAAATACAAAAATTAATTAAAAAATTCCAACCTATTTGGAATTAAGACATATAACAGTAGTAGTAGTAGTTTTTTTGGGTGGATATAAAAATGAAAGAATATCGAGGAAACAATATTCTTAATTTTGGCATGAATCACACTTTAAATTAGATGTACTGCACTGACCGTTGTACTCCAAAGTCCAAACGTTTACAGTTGTACTTCGTTATTCACGTTGGCAGTTTTTTGATTTCTATGTAATGCTTTTGAACACTGAAAGTTTAAGATCAAGCGTAGTGTGTATTATTACATGCAAACCTTCAAAACAAATGTATTACTATAAAATTTTGGCTGAGTTTGGTATCCAATATAGCATCAGTTGTAAAAGATTTGAACTTTTTATATATGATCTAGTGCTTCATTTTAAAGATTATTAAGTCTTACTATCTGTGAAAAAGAAGAAAAAAAATATCAATCATGACTTTGGTTTATTAATTTTGCTAGGCTGGTCACAGATATCCAAGCAACCACAGGAGCAAACTTTGGTAAGTTTTCTTACATAAAAAGTTAATCATGACTCATGAGTTCTTTAGAACTGAATATTTGTTGAAAATTTATAAATGACAGTGTTGCCTGGGGCTGCACGACTCATGCAAACACTTTACCTGTGGGCATGCCTATTTTGTCATGAATCTTAACTTAAATATACTTAATTAGAGAAGTTTAGACCAATCAAAATTTTGAAAAATTAAAGGTATTCCATATAAATTAAATATTTTCAGAAAGTATTTTTTTCATGCTTTATAACGTTTTACATTTACATATTTTAACTTTTTGAGATGGTAGAAAACTAGATCGAATAAAACATTCTGATATACCAGACCTAGCATGTTACCTTAAACAAATGATACAACATAACTTTATACTTTATACATAATTTTCCCATTAAGCGATTCAATGAAGTGAAAATATGCATTAGTTAGCCGCGAAGTGATTGAATTCTATGTGCAAAGACATATCATACTTTTATTGGTTTGGTATATATATCGAGTACGAGTAAATTTTTACCTACTTATCTGACAAAAAACAACTAAGTATGAAGCTAACAATACCACAACATATATTCTTATTGTAATTCAATTTGGGATATGACTTTCAATGCTTATATTTATTTATAGTGTGACTGCATTTTTTCAATCTTATACGAAAATAAAGAAACCGCTTCCACTTAATATTTAAATACAAGGAAAAAATTTAAGCATTTTTTGAATTAATTTCATATATGGTTGCTGACTTTGCCTACTATAATAGTAAGGTCACTTAAATTTTTAATTATCATAATATTTATTCAATCTAATAGTAAAACCATAAAACAATTTCCTTGTTTCATTAAAGTAGAATAGTCGATGAATGCTACCCTCTATAACAGTGTAGTCAGATCAAAAAACTTTATCCACTATAACTGAAAACTCTCCTTAATGAGTATGTTTTATAGTTACACTATATCAGACAAGATTATTTTTCTTAATGTAAACAATTTTATGATTTTACTGTTATAGTAGGTAAAACTTATTAGTAATTTTATTGTTATAATCAATTACATTAATATAACAAAAAATATTTAAATGACTTACTGTTATAATTAAATTCCCCTCCGTACATGAAATTACCCGGCATTTCTTTCTTGGACAAGAAATAGTTTACCTATGTTTGAATCTAACCAAGAAATGGGGAGAGGCAGCAAAAACGACTAATCGTTCGTAGAGACGGACCCAGACTTTGAAGTTTATGGGTTCCTATAACGTAACGATCTCAAGTTACCAACTAGGTTTACAATCAAATATTTATAGATATTTAATGAATTTTTTAATACATATACAAGGACTGTGCAAAAACTACTGGGTTCTCGGGAACCCGCACGTTGCCCTCTAGATCCGCCATTGATCGTGTATGCGTACATACAATCTTTAAACAAATATATAGCTGGCAGATATACTGTTTACTTTTCCTAACCGATATACATAAATTTTATATTTGTCTGCCATATTTAATTTAAGCGGTTGAATGGACGACTATAGGTTAATTCTTCTGCAGAAATATTACTTGTGAAATTCATCAGCACCCTTATTAAAACTGGTTTATTTTACTGCACTACAGGCAATGAAATTATACATTACGAGAGTCCACGACCTTCATTGGGAATTCATCGCTATATTTTCGTGTTGTTTCGGCAATTTGATCGAGGGGTTGTGATAGCTCCTGATATAATTGATTCTCGTCAGAATTTTAACACTAGAGACTTTGCAAGATTTCACAATCTCAATTTGCCTGTTGCTGCTGTTTACTTCAATTGCAATAGGGAAGGGGGTACTGGTGGCCGTCGCCTATAAATAAGTTTAACTTATATATACTGTCAGTGTACGAAATTTTTACACTATCGAGTCATATTTATGGTTCAAAATTATAATCTCATATTTTAGGAAAATGCTTTAGGTGATTTGATAATGTAAAAATATCTTACACTGACGGTATATATATTATTTAAACTCAGAAAGAAATAATGTCTTAATATGATGTGTCTCCTAAAAAAGAAATAATGTCTTAATAATATGTCTCCTCAAAATTTTACTGAATTTTTAACTTATACATGATGACAACGTGAGGAATTTACCTACTACAAAGTTACATGCAAAAGTGTGGATGCTCATATCTACTGTAATACTGTTAAAGGGGCATCTTATTATAGAATTATACTTCAATTATATAATTTTATGTCTTCAATTTTATGTTTTTGGGAGGTTTTGGTTAGACCTTGGAGGAACTTTTTGAGAGGCTAATGCTAGGAATTGGAAGCGTGAACAGAGTTCTTTATTTTTCTGTACTTCTTGATTTCTATCCTTCATTTGATAAAATTAACTATTGTTATTTTCGTGCCACGTGTAGCGAGATACCTTGTTCTAGGGTTATGGGAAAATTTATATATGAATGTTATGATTCCTATCTTTTTTTAATGAATTGAGTTTAGCTTTACAAGCTAGTTATTTATTCAATCGTGCGCCTAACAATTTAAGTTATTTGATCACCAATTAAACTCTATATTCGGACTTTAAATCGAGCTAGAAAAGGATGATATACAGGGGTGCTTCGAGATGAATTCTGTAAATTGATTAACCCCAAGCGTTAGGAAAATGATTTGCAAGTAAGACATAAATATACTTTTCTTATATACCTTATATGCGAAAAATTGTAACGCATTCTTGTCTATTCTCATTGAAGTATAATAAATAGGTTAATATGAATAGGTGAATAAAAAAAAATAAAACCATGTAAACTTAAAAAAATTACTGTTCGAGAGCAAAATGACAACCAAAAAAGCCAAATTAACAAGCTGGATAAAAATTAGCTAGCTAGAGGTGCAGTTTTAGTCTAATTTAACCATTTGTTCCAATCAAAGCACAGGAATATCAGCTGACCACAAATAATTAAAAACGCCAAAGTAAATTTTCCAACTCAATCCTTGGTGTACGATCACTTATCTCTTTAGTTGTTAGTTTTAATTTTTTATCAGAGCAGGTGGCAAGCAGAGGCGGATCTAGGAATTGAAATGTATGGGTTCCTACCACAACTTCAAGTCAATATATCATAATAGCCGAACTAAGAAACAAGTATCAATATTCAACATATATTTACAAAATAACAAAATACTTAAAGACAACATATAAATATAAATATTTTCATTATAATTGACTCGGGGACTTGTCATGTTTTGAAAATGATCAATGATCGCATCATTAGGTATACTTTCAAATACTTCATTCTCTATATAACAAACTAAACAATCATTCAAAAATTCATCACCAATTCTGCTTTGCAAGTCACTTTTAATGTACTTCATCGAAGAAAAAGTCCTTTCTACCGTTGCAGTAGCGACAGACAATATCAAACTTAACTTCACAAGCAAATAAACAAGCCTCCAAGTCATGTGCAAATTTGTTTTAACCATTGTCTCTGAAAGATCTCCAACGCTTTTCAAGTTAGAGAATTCATTGCCCGCCTCTCGCACATAGTCAATATAGATGTCAAGCTCAAAACCAAGATCCTCAAGCATAGAATTAGTAAACTCATTTGGATAGTGTGTTGCAAGTTTCATAATCCCGTCTTTATCATAATTTGCAAAAGAATTATCAGGACTCAAACTAGCCATACCAAGAAGTAGATCAGTATTCACTTCACTGAAACGACTGTTAAGCTCAGAAAGTTGCAAATCAATAATAGTATAGAAAACCTCTATACGCAAATGATAAGAATATGTAACACTTGATTTCTTACGCTTCGACTTTCCACGAGAAAAGTTCATATCCATTTCGGGGATTACAATATCATGCTTGATACAAAATAAACAGACATCTTCTACCAAAGAATTCCATCCTGATTCTCTCATAACTTGCAATTGTCTCTTTGCAAAACCAACAAGCTTCATGGCACTTACAATATCTTGATCTTTTTTTTGCAAAGCCATATTTAAATCATATGTAAGTGCCAACACTTTCAACATTAAATGCAACATATACACAAACTCATATGATCTTATATCATCCACTAGAATTTTTGCCATTGATCTCTCATGATAATTTGAACCCTCAATTGCAAGAATTCCAAGCACATGAACAATTAATGAGAATAAACTAATAAAATTACGCACTGTCTTAAAATGAGAACTCCAACAAGTATCACCTGCCCTTTGAAGTCCAAGTTCTTGATTTAATCCGCTTCCTGTATGAACTTCACCAAGCATTAGTAATTCCTCCAGCTTTTCTGCTTGATCATCTCGAAGCATCTCCCTGCGCTTAAAAGAACCTCCAACAATATTTAAAACATTTGCAAGAATATCAAAAAATTGTTCTGCCTCATAATGTTCTTTGCAACAGCCACAAGAGTCAATTGCAATTGATGAGCAAAACATGTAATGCTAATAGTGCCGAAGGAGTATACATTCATAATCAATAGTCTTAAGGCCATTAATTTCTCCCTGCATGTTACTAGCTCCATCATAGCCTTGTCCCCGTATTTGAGATTTACTCAATGAATGTTCCAAAAGAAAATAACAAATTGCTTCTTCAATGACTTTGCAGATGTATCTTTAACATGAACAATGCTAAGAAATCTCTCATAACTTTACCCTCTTTATTGACATAACGCAAAACAAGTACCATTTGTTCTTTATGAGAGACATCCTTAGATTCATCAACCAATATCCCAAAGTAAATCAACCAGTTCAAGTCTTTAATAATTGCCTTTAATGTTTCTTTTGCACAAGATCTCACAATGTCTTTTTGTACACTTGGACAAATCATGATATCATTTTTTGGAGCATTTTCTAGTACGACATTTTTTACATCTTCCTTCTTATCGGCATACCACTTTAAGAGATCTAAGAAGTTGCCTCTTCTTGTAGAAGTTTCACTCTCATCGTGACCTCGAAAAGGCATTCCTTCTTTCAAAAGATACCTTGCAACATCAATTGAGGCATTTAAGCGAACTCGATACTCACTTTTAGCTTTCTCGGATTGTTTGTCAAAAGAAGTTATAATAGATTGTCCTTGATTCTTTAAATCTAACATCATCTTAAAACATCGATTATGAACACTACTCACTTGACCCACATGCGCATTAAGCCTTTCTATACCTTTATTCCAAGACCTAAAATCATCTATTGTAAAAGAATCACCGACTTTTTTTCCATATCCGTCAATCTCATTTTTGAACAAGTAACAACATAAGCAAAATGCTGCATCTTTTTTAATACTATATTCTAACCATTCAGAATATAAAGTCTTAAACCATTCAGGATTAAAATGACGCAATTTTCCACCAAAATTTGTATTTGGAAAATCAAACTCTCTAAGTTGACAAGGTCCCTTTTCAATGTAATGCCTTCTCACTCGATCACGTAAATTAGGAGGATATTCTGAAATTTATTTTCTTTCACCAGGATCGCGTTCAAGAGGATTCAAATCCAACATATTATGTAGGTGTGATGATTGAGAAGAATTGACATTATTATTTACCACTGGACATGAAGGAGAGCTTAGTGAAGGAGAACTAGAAGTAGAACCTGAAGAGGTTTGCGGCTTGAAGAATCTCTTGATCATCTTGACTCTTACTAAAATATCCTATAAATCATAAGAAACAAATTAAACATTGCACTGTATTTTTTTCGATTTTTCCTCTTAGATATCAAGATAACTAACTAACTAAGAACTATCAAATCACAATCAATGCAATTTCACCATTTATTAACTGGAAATGAACTTTAGCTATTCATTTTCTCAAAACCCTCTCTATTCATGAGAGGAAAACAATAAAAAAAGAAGAAAGAGGAGGAAGGAAATCAAAATACCTGTTGCAATGGAGTGGAATTAAGTGAAGAAGTTAAAACTAGATTTTAGTTTTGAGTTGCTTCCGCCTGCCTGTTAAAACAGAGGCAGTGAAGAACAGAAGAAATAATGTGAAATTATAAAACCTAATTTTCCTTTGAACGTTTGAGTTAAGAATGGGAATTGCCGAATTGGGAAGGAAAAGGGAATCTTACACCTTTTAGTTTAGTAAGTCTTTCCTTTTATTATTTTAATTAAATAAATAATACATAAAACTTTGTGCCAAAATATATGGGAAAAACTAAAGTAAGTTGATGGGATTTGAACTTGCATTGTGGGTTTTGGGAAAATCAGTATAGGTTCCGCACCTTACCATTGAACCAGCAAGACATTTTGTTACTGGGTTCCTACATAAAAGTTCTTATACATTTAATAGATTTCTTAATATAAATACAGGGTCTAGACAAAAGTTACTGGGTTCCCGGGAACCCATACCTATCACTGAAGATCCGCCCCTGGTGGCAAGGTATGGGAAAAATCGAAATTATTTAGATTTATGCTGTTCAATTAAACGTGAAGCGCTCCTTAATTACTAAGGGTTTATCCATGACCCAACAATCTCGAAAATGAAGGGATTACCTTCACATAGCCTTCAATGACTGGATGGTCCTCTTAGACTAGCCATCGATCTAAGCATGGAAGATTTAGGCATCTGCTACCCAAAGACTTCTTTGTAGGCTCTGTCACAAGGTTGAATTGAATCGTGTATTTCTGTCTGATACTATGGATGATGATATTCCGTGTAGATAACTATCTCATCAATATATATTTGGGTTAGCTTGCCCATAGAGTAACTCATACTGATCCACAGAAAGTGAGATAGACTTGGTCAGCCGATCAATAGTGCCCAAATGACGTCATATTGCAGTGCTGTCTTCCCAGACGCGAAATAGAATATGTTGTTCTTTTTATTGTCATTAGAACAGTGAATGTAATAATTCATTAATTAAATAGAATAAAGGGATGATATCCTTGTCACTCACACATATGACCCTTTTAAGAATATTATCAAATATCTAAATCTGGAATACCAGCAAATGATTTAAGTGGTCCAGACGAAATCCTAGTGTTGCCCATTTTCTTCTTTCTTTGTTATGGCTAAGATTTCACGTGGCAATGGATCATTTTAATTTGAAAGTGCTCTATTCAATTTTGCTAAAATTTTAACATCTTTACAGAAAATGGTACAAAATAACTAGTTATATATGAATGACAATGACTATATAAAGGTCTCTTGTGTTTTAAATTACTGATATCTTACGTAATAACGTAAGATGTCTAATACTCTAGTGAAATATTGGACCTTATAACTGAAAGAATATATGTAATGAGTCACAAAACTTAGAGGCGGATGTACAATTATAGTTACTGGATTCGGCTAGTAATTCATATGCTATATATGTGTTAAAAAACCTATTAAATACGTATAAATATTAAATTTCTAACCCAATAACTCATTGAGCAGTTTCAATGGCCATCTCTTAATCGATAAGATAAGTCTTTGACTCTTTTCCTCTTACTAATAACTTCTTAGGTTTCACTGCCAAAAGGTGCGGTGAATAGTAAAATTCTTCTTTCTTAACTAGAAATTTCGAATTTGACCCTTGAGAATGAAATCGCCCTTGATGATGAAGTAAAACCCCACTTAGTAAACTTTCAATTGCGTCAATCCAAATTTAGTTCGATCAGTGGGTTTCAGACATCGATTGCTATATTAATTAATACTACTTGATAGTAGGCTATAAGTATGTTGTTTAGCTACCATTTACACTCCAACTTAGCTGTACTTTATTGTTATATGAATGTTAAATGACAACAAATGGCTCCAATTATGAACTTTGTGCTTTGCAGGAGCAATTCCTGACTATGAGGACATTAAAGAGTGTTTGGAGTTAATTTGGAGCAAGGAAGGCCCAATCAGGGGTGAGTGCGCGCAAAAGAAGAAGGAAAAAATGGAAGATAGACTGAACTCCAAGAGCGTGGGCCAACCGCGGCCGCGCTCGTCAGGCAGAAAGGAAGGCATTATGCGCGGTCCAACCACAGTCCAACCGCGGTCGCGCTCGTCCCTCCGAGGAATTTTATTTCAGGGGTAAATTAGTAAGTTCAGGGGCGACTCTCCTTGACCTATAAGAAGACCAGCTTGCCCAAAAAGAAGGTATTGAGGTTTTGAAGGGATTTTGAAGGCAAGAACAGGCAAGAAGCAAGGCGGAAGATTCAGCATAGAGTTTTTACCTTTATTCCTCTTGTTTTTATCATTGATGATGAATTCTATTGTTATGATTGTGAAAACGATTATGCATAGCTAAACTCCTAATCTAGGGTTTTGATGGAACCTCTTGGAGGATAAAGTTCTTGTTATGTTAATATAGATTTGTCATAGTATTTTCTCTGTTTGTTCAACTATATTGTGATTGCTGTTGATTGAAGGGCCCTCAATCGACTGTGCCTATTTAGTATGTATTACTCGGGAGAGAGTGCATATTTAGGTAGTTGTTGAACAACACCACTCCAAACGTATATGAGGGATCAATACAAAGGGTTTAAAGGTGGGATTAGGGATAACGAAATCTTGGGTGCGATCTAAGTGAGTTGTAATTAAGGCCAGCTAGCGTAATTCGGGAGTATATGTCTAGTATATTATTGTAATTACTCGGGAGAGAGTTAGGACAGTCAGAGTGCTCATGATCAATAAAGAAGACTTAGGCAAATTTATAGCAAACATAGCGGAAATAATTCCGACAAGAGGAGAAATCAGAACCTTAGACCAGTCCCATTCTTGCTTACATACCGTTTATAGCTAGTTGTTTACTATTGCATTTTTATTACGTAATATTTAGTTAATAAACATCCCATTTGTTACTCAAATATCTCTGAAGATTGAATACGTGACGTGTAAGTCCAATAGCTGTGATTGATAGGTTAATTCCCTGTGGGATTCGACTCTGGACTTGTTAACCGGAATATATTTGCAGCGATCGCTTTGTCCTTTTTATAAGACATAGTTGGCCGTGATCAAATTTTGGCACCGTTGCCGGAGAGTAAACGGTGTTATTAATTGCAGTTAAAAGGAAGTGCAAAAATTCTTAGTGTAGTCAATTTTTTCAATTTAAACTGACCATTGAAATTCTAACGTTTGTAGTCGTGGTTGTTACAGGTGCATGCCTAGAAACTCCTCAAGAACTGGTGAATTGTTTGAAGCATTATCAGATCCTGAGAAAGTGTTCAAGGCATTGAATCGTGCTAACAGGAAAGGCAAACGACAACATAACTCAACCGAACAAATTGAACCAGACATGGAAGACGATAATCTAAACAACAAAGACAACGTAAATGACCCAAGATCAGGGTGTGGTACCTCTTGTGCTA